CCTCGTGAATATTTTTGGCAGGAAAATTGCTAACTCAAGAAGAAAATTTGAAAAGCTGAAATTTCAGCAAAATGTTCCTTGTCCAAATACCGCGTACACAATTAACTTCCCAGACTTCGAGGACCAGTATATCACACATTTCTAGCTACTGGGTTCCCGAGCGGTCTCATTATGGCGCGAAATATTGCAAAAACGCATAATCGCACGGGCCAGCCCGGTGCGCGTCGCCAATGATTTCAGATGAAAGCGCCGCTGAGATGAGCCTTCTTTTTGAGATTTCTGCAAAAAACAGTTTATTTCATAACCTGAACTCATGCGACAGACTTTTCCCTCTAAAAAATTTTCCGTACTGTGCTGGTTAAAAGATCAGCGTGCTGAACTTTTTTATATATCAGCGCGTTTATTCGCTATACGCCAGCAATAGCTTGTTGTAAAAGGCATAATCGTGTTAGCTGTTTGGCATATTCAAATTTTCAGGAGAAATATTCACAGGTCAAGGATAAATTCGAGAAGCTCCCGGAGTTAATGAAGGAGAATTTAGAAGAACGCCTGAAAATTATAGAAAAAGAATTAACTGGTGTTGGAAAGGAAAATTTGGAAAACATACGGGGCGTTTTCGAAAACCCTCAAGAAATCAGTGAGATTGAACGTGAACAAATTGTTGTGGAACGTTCGGAAGCTGATAAAAAACGAGTGCAGAAGACATTTGCTCAGGTTTTCTTCTATTAACTTCGTTAGTTTCGCACTTTTAACATTTACTAATATAGGAGGTAGATGTACGGGACATTTAACCCAGTTTGACGTCTGCCACTCTTATAGAAAAAATACTCACTTGTATGTTTTTATTAGCGGTATGTGGAACCCCCACGTTTTCTCACTTCAGAGCGGTAGGTAGTAGGCATTGTTTCGGGTGCCGCATGACATGTAGGCAGAATAACTTTGTTCCTCTTGAAAAAATTCGCTTTTCCATCTTCCTTGTTTTCGTTTTTGAGGATAACTTGCCTAGCGAGCAAAAGGTGTTCCACCGCCCTGAATTATTTCTGCGCACTGTTCTGCTTTAGGACAGCTGCTTTTTCTAGCTTAGGTTATCCATGCGACATCAGAAAAGTTCCAGTTGTGCCAGTAGAATTACT